AATTGTAGGCAGTACAAGCGTGGCTCCGACTGAAGATCTTATAGTTGAAGAGTTACCACCTAGACTCTTTGCCCTAGACCCGTACCCTGTCAAGACGAAGATGAACGCGTACTCCAAACCGAAAAGTCTGTGGGAGGCAAAAAATCTGTCGCAAAAAATCTGTCACAGAAAAATAAGTCTGTCATAGAAAATAAACCTGTCACAACTAACCCAGCTGATATTTCAAATAATTTTTTTTTTCTAAATATTTTTTCTTCACGTTTTTTAAATATATTTAAGGGTAATTTTGACTTTTTTTTATTCCTAACAAAGAGAGAAAGGGTATTATGGTCATGAAAATAACTCATTTAACCCCCAAATTTTTTGAGACATTCTAGTAATTAAACTCATAATTTGGGTTAATCTAGTAACTTTCCCATATAAAATTACTATAATAGTCCCACTAAAATTTGGTAATAATTAAAAAGAATTTATCACTAAAACAGAAAATCTATTAATTTAATTTTTAAATTAAAATTTGACGTAAATAATAATTTTAAAGATAATTCTTATCTTAAATATATATTTTAAACAATTTACGATTCTTGTTGGAAACAAATATTAAGTGATAGATTTCAGAATATTTATAGATATTATCTTGTTAAATTTTAATATAAAAAATAAATAAACTGTATTTATCTCAAAATAGTTAATATAATTAATATTCCGAATTTGGTTTATTATTTTATTTGTCTAAATTTCGAATTTATTTTTAATTTATTAAAAACGCAGCATTTTAAATGTGGATAAAATTGTCATTTTACATATTAAAAATTTTAGTTTTTTTTGAATTTTTTGGTACGAAAAAATTGTAGTTATTGAAAATAGAGAAAGTTGTATTTTTCAAACAAAAACTCATAAACAAAACAGTTTTCAAAATATCATGTTTTTATTGGTTTTGACGATATATTCTGGAGATTGCTTTTTTTATTGGTTAATTAGATAATAAATAATTTTTCTGATTTAAAATTAAAGAAAAATTAAATGCTTCCATAATCGGTGTGCAAAAACCTTAAATATAAAAATAATATAGAGGGAGCTAGTATTTATTAATTTTCCAAGTTCCTATCATCAATGAAATATCTAGAAAAAAAGAAAAAAAAATGGGCTTTTGCAAAAATGCCCCTTTTTCAATGCCACTTTTCAAAAATGCACCTTCTTTAAAACCTTATAAAAAATGTTCTTAAAAATATAAGATTTACCCAAATATGTATGTAACATTATTAAAACATACACAAACTACATTTCTATGTATCAAAATCTTATAAATACTTTATAAATACCTTATAAATGCTTTAAATACCTTTAAAAACCTTTAAAATATCTTGTAAAACCTTTGAAAAACCTTAAAAATCCTTTAAAATAACTTGTAAAACCTTTAAAACACCTTATAAAACCTTATAAATACTTGGATCGAGTCTTCAAGTAGTAGTTACAATCCATAAGTACCTTATAAACCTAATAAAACTTTATAAAAATATCAGATTTAAAATGGGGCATTTTTGAAAATGGACATGTAAAAGGGGCATTTTTGAAAAGGGGCACACCAAAAGGGGCACACCAAAAGGGGCATTTTTAACAATTTCCCTTTAAAAGCAAATTCGTGATAGAATAGGATTTAGTAGTGTTAATCTTACCAACTATAAAAAGGACTGCATGTCCTATGGGTCTAACTCTAAAGCATAAAAACAAACAAACCTAAATTAAAGCAGAAAACTAAAGGAAGCAAACGATATGTACGCAAGTCATGCAATATACATAGCAGAGCCAACTTTGAGTGGACTTGTGATCTTATCCACTCGTGTTTACGCCCTGGTAGATACAGTTAATCGGTACCGCGACTATACATCCGCCACTGGCGATGTAGGGACGAGGAATCACTCTCGCTGCATTAATTATCTAAAGCTTTTTTTATTTGCTTTTCCTTTCTTTTTCTTAAGTTTAATTATTTAGTTTTTGCTGCTATTTAATTTGAGGTTTACCTTATCTCCTTGCTCATGTAATTAGATTTTGTTTTACCTTTCAATCCATAATTTTTTTATTGGTTAATTAGATGATAAATAATTTTTCTGATTTAAAATTAAAGAAAAATTAAATGCTTCCATAATCGGTGTGCAAAAACCTTATATATAAAAATAATATAGAGGGAGCTAGTATTTATTTATTTCCAAGTTCCTATCATCAATGAAATATCTAGAAAAAAAGAAAAAAAAAAAAAGGGGGCTTTTGCAAAAATGCCCATTTTTCAATGCCACTTTTCAAAAATGCCCATTCTTTAAAACCTTATAAAAAATGCTCTTAAAAATATAAGATTTACCCAAATATGTATGTAACATTATTAAAACATACACAAACTACATTTCTATGTATCAAAATCTTATAAATACTTTATAAATACCTTATAAATGCATTTTAAATATCTTTAAAAACCTTTAAAATATCTTTTAAAACTTTTGAAAACCTTAAAAATCTGTTAAAATAACTTGTAAAACCTTTAAAACACCTTATAAAACCTTATAAATATTTGGATCGAGTCTTCAAGTAGTAGTTACAATCCATAAGTACCTTATCAACCTAATAAAACTTTATAAAAATTTCATATCTAAAAAGGGGCATTTTTGAAAATGGACATCTAAAAGGGGCATTTTTGAAAAGGGGCACACCAAAAGGGGCACATCAAAAGGCGCACACCAAAAAGGGCATTTTTAACAATTTCCCTTTAAAAGCAAATTCGTGATAGAATAGGATTTAGTATTGTGTTAATCTTACTAACTATAAAAAGGACTGCATGTCCTATGGGTCTAACTCTAAAGCAAAAAAAACAAACAAACCTAAATTAAAGCAGAAAACTAAAGGAAGCAAACGATATGGACGCAAGTCATGCAAAATACATAGCAGAGCCAGCTTTGAGTGGACTTGTGATCTTATCCACTCGTGTTTACGTCCTGGTAGATACCGTTAATCGGTACCGCGACTATACATCCGCCACTGGCGATGTAGGGACGAGGAATCACTCTCGCTACATTAATTATCTAAAGCTTTTTTATTTGCTTTTCCTTTCTTTTTCTTAAGTTTAATTATTTAGTTTTTGTTGCTATTTAATTTGAGGTTTACCTTATCTCCTTGCTCATGTAATTAGATTTTGTTTTACCTTTCAATCCATAATTTTTTTATCGTTAGATACCCAAACTTTGCTTTGCTAAGCCATGTAACCTGACTCGGACTTTAAGATAGGACGTACTAAGAACAGGGTAACAAGGTCTGATTTTTTATACATATACATCATAAAATCTAGTAATGTTATATACTCGAGAATTTAGGTTCATGTACTCTGGTTTGGTTCGGTTAGCAGGAGAAACACTTCTGACTTTGGCATTTGAGAAGAGGGAAAGAAGGGAATTAACAATGGAAACTTTGATAGATGTGATTAATCTCTCAAATAGAAGCATTCATAAGTGTTTAAAAGGCATTTTAGGGTTATAAACTCTCTAATTGATTTCGAAATTTGCCAGCTTATCTTTGTTAGAATACTTTGTGAACCCATATGTTTCGTTTAGGAAGTGTTAAGATCTTTAAAATTTTGTTTTTAGAAATAATTTAGGAGTTCAGAAAAGTGTGGATTCATATATGGCCTTGCATTTAGTTTATAGAAATAAAGGATTCTTTAAGCAGAGAGCTTCATGAAATTTCTCAATTTGAGTAAGGAATCTTTCAGATAGTCTTAGTTTCAATCTAATCAGCCTAATCATCATGATCATCATGAGCCCAATCACTATGGGTCTTGGCCCAAACGTAATAAGTACTTTATTTGAAAGCCCTCAAAATCAGTTTTACTAATAAAAGTAATCAGTCCCCTAATAAAATTGTAAATGTTGTCACTAAAAGCACCTTTGAAACATTCTTTACTCATTCAAAAATTTGATATAGAAAAAAATCATAAGCGGTGCACGTCGGTTTTATTGTTTTATTCTAAGCCAAAAGGCAAAAAGAAAAAGATAAGAGAAGATGATAGCTGCTTTAGCAAATTTGATCTTCTCGACTATAAGTTTGTTGTCTAATTCGATTTCTTACGTGATCTTCCATGTCGCCGCTTGTTCTTTTGTTCTATTTGTTCAAACATTCAAGATTCCAGCAGAAGCCATTAATGCCTTGATCAAGCTAGTAAGAGATACAGCCGAGTCTTGTGTTCCCAAATTGTGTAAGATAGTTGTTGATGTAATCAGTGAAGTGTTTACAATCGTGTTTGATCTGGCTAAAGGACGAGTCATGAGGATGTCAGATTCGATCTCATTGACTATTGGTAATGTGAGGGAAAAAGGAATGCCATGGTTTGACCAATTTCTTAAGGAATGGCCGAAAGTTTTTGAAGGATTTATCGATATGTTATCGACTGTGGTTAGTGGTTTATGGAATAACTACAAAGGCGCTTTATATTATGTCTATCGAAAGTTAGTTGAGTAACTAAATTTGTTGTAAACATATATATGCAATCCAAAATATCCGAGAGTTGATGTTTTGTAGTCAATTTTTTTGTGAAATATTTTTGATCGTGGATAATTTTCTTCAAGCCATCAAAATTCAACTCATAGTTCCTTTTTTGCAAATTGTTATATTGAAAGTTTCAAGTCTTTTCATAACCATTAACCAACAAAATTCAAATCTTTTACCAGTAGTACTTTTCTTAGGTTAGTGACCAATTTTTTTTGTAGTATTTGTAACGAATTTTCGAAGGGTAATTCTTTAAGTCTTACACGATCCCGAATTTAGATATAGTACGAAAACAACACTCTTTTCTAACCAGTTGTTTTAGTCACGTTTTTGGGAAATGAAGGTCGGTTTTTTTTTTTATCAACTGCACATTAATTAAAAGATAACTCCATGATTGGTTGCCCAATCTGGAGGAAAAAGGTTTACAAATGTGACTTTAGAAAACAGTAAACGAGAATAACGAGGAAATGAAAGGTCGATTAAATAACCGTTTATTAACTTTTTGGTGTTTGTTGTGCATTAGATAGTCTACATCACATATATAGTTGGTAGATTGTGTGATGATTAGAATACAAACATAACGGAACACTGATTGGGATGCATGGAAACAAGAAGACCACATAAAGAGCCTCTAAATTTGCATGGCTGCGGAGCCAATGAACTTAGTGAGACCAAAGGTAAGAGCCATAGCCATCCAACCACCAATCACCACTCTAACGCTCGACTTAGCCACACTTGTCTTTCCCAAGACCGCACCGGTCACTCCAAACACAACTAATGCTATGGTGGCCACAATCGCTACCACAACCATTCTTACCTTATGATTCTCTATGAATACAGCGGCCAAAAGCGGCATTGCTGCACCCACAGAAAACGCTAACGCTGATGCAATTGCTGCTTGCCCTGGATTTGGCAGCCGTTCTTTCTTCTCCTCCTACCATTAAACATACATTTTATAACTATATATATTCATATAAAAATGTCATGTCATCTAAAAGAAAAAGGATAATTAAGTTTGTATAGTGTCAAAGTTTCTATTGATTCCAAAATCAATTGGCAATAAACACGCGACTCATATCTCAAATAGACGAAACTATTATCTCGATTGGTTAAACCAATTTATATATATATATATATATCAATGTTCAAGATAGCGCTAGGCGCTAAACGGGCGGTGATCTAGTGCCTAGCACTTAGAACGCCTAATCGGAGCATAGACGATTTTTTGGCGGTTTAAACGTTTATAACATAAAATATTATAAATATAATATTATATATAAAAGTTATTTAAAATATCTATATAAAACTAAAAAATATGAAATTATAAACAAAACTAGATAAAAATCTATTTATATTTATATTAAACAATATATGAATGTTTATAACTATATATATATATAAATAAAACTTAATTGAAATTAAAAAATACATTAAACAAGATCTATGTAATTTTAGGCGATCAAGACGGTCATCTAGGCGTCGCATGAGAGCCTAGCGCCTAGTCGGGGCCTAAGCGACCGCCTAGACCGCTTTTACTTAGTGTTACATGACACCAAAAAAGTCACAATGTTAAAACAGAGAAAACTTACTTTTTACTTTTTCATAAAATATGACGTATATATTTTTAAAATATATATGAGCTGAAAATCCAAGAGCCTACAATGCTAACTAGTAAGGAAATTTTGTTAATGTGATCACTAAAATAGTGACAGATTTTCATTCAAAAAAAAAAAAAAAGTGACAGGTTGGTGTAGCAAATATCTAGTGACAAACTTACTTTTTTTTTTAATGTGAGTATAATGTTTAGTGTTTAGACACTATATTACCTCCTCTTGTTCGTCGATTTCTGATAATGATGTCTTATTCTCAATAGCTCTCTTCATCTGCGCAGTTTCAATATCCCTTTGGGTGCATACAGACACAAACTCTCCAATAGCCATACTACAAGCACCCGCTACAAGGCCGGCAAAACCAACAAGAAGCATTGCTTTGACGTCTTCTTTGATAGAACCAACACCCATCATTAGCGAAGCAACTGTGACCAGACCATCGTTGGCTCCGATCGAGCAAGGCAGCTCTTAGCCACTGAGCTCTCTGCATGTAGTCCACTTCCTCCTTCTCTACTCTCGGACAGTTTTTCTGACTCCTTGGGCTGCTTGTTTCTGAAAGCTGAACGTTGGAAGCCATGGTTTGGAATTAGTACTAAGTAGTGATGCTTACTTGATTTTGATTGATGAGGAGGCTTGTGGAGAACTCACGCCTTATATAGAAAAATAGAGTAAGAAGCTTTGTTTATTAAAAGTGTACCTAATAATGTATAAGAGAAATGGGAGAATGGTGGTAGTGGTGGAGACGGTAACGTTGGACACTATACTTCTTTAGAGTGGAAATAAGAATCAGATGGATAAAATAGCCACCCAAAAGTGTCATCGTGATAAACAGTATTATTGGTAAATTTGGTGAATGAGGTTAAATTAGTATATATATAATAGGATTATTACTAGTAACTGTGGTGATTAAGTTCATAACTGGTTAGGCTAATTTACAAAACTTAGTTTTACAAAAACAAATATGGCTAACTTTTCTACATTTTGGTTAAAAAACGTCTAAGACAAATATAATTAATTAGCCTAACTCTCTAATGATTAAAAATTTAATAACTTTCCAAAAAAAAAAAATTTATAACTTAAAAACAATTGGATTTAGCTAATTACTTCAACATTATGAACGAAAACAAATAAATAACAACGTTATTGTATTTTTGTTTTGCCTTTTATATTGAAAGTACAGACATTTTTGTGTATGTGCGATGTCATTGCTAACATCATTTTGAGTGCTATGTCATTGCTAACATCATCGCATAATCAGTTTCATGCTTTTATTTTCGTAATGAAATCTTATATGCACTTTTTTTCTTATAGAATACAATTAAATGCTTTTTCATTTTTGTTGGCAACCGATTTATTTATTAACTAATCGTTAACCAAACACGTATGTACTGCTTAATAGAAGCAAAGGACTTGCAGTGAAAAGAATCAGAGCCGTCCCTGACATTAGGATGTCAATTGGACTGTCCAGGTCCAAATGGATATGTGTAAATGAGACCAAGATCAGATAGGACGATGATAATATAAGCTCAAATAGGATCGTGTCTAATTAAGACCAAGCCCAAATAAGATCATGACCAACTGGATAGTCCATGGAACCCAAATAATATAATTTTCTATTTTCCGCCAAAACCGCAAAAGCATATTTTCTCTCAAAATCGAAGAATTGAATTTTTCCGCCAAATCCTAAAATCACATTTTTCCGCCAAAACTGTATAAATATTTTTTGGAGTGAAAATGTCAGTGTAAATCCTAATTTTTAAAGAAATAAAGAAAAAAAAAATCTCCAAATTAGTAACCCTAATTTTTAAGGTTTATTGGACGGGCCATGTCCAGATGGGTTCAGCCCATTTGCTTGTGGACTAAATGAGCTTCTAATCCATATTGACCGTTTTGAATTTGGGCGAATTTAGGCGTGACCAAATCCGCACCATTATAATTTGGACTGGTCTTGGCCATGGTCACGAAGCCCATTTGACATCCGTACCTAATATTTTGATGGTTATAAGCAAAAAACTTTTTTTGCTGATTTTCTCTTGAAAAAGGTTGAAAAAAAAAATTCTTCTCTTGGGAATCAAACCTGCTACCGCTTCCCTAATATAGTAGTATTTTTCGAGCAGAATTAACAGCATACTATATCTTTTTATCGCAAAATCTAGTCATGCATCATTTGGAATATTGATTTGTTTGAAATAGAAAAATCTATACAACTAGATGAGGTTATATATCGGTTTGAATTTATAAACGAAATGATTTTACAATTAAACGATATTATTTGTCCGTTCGGAATTAATTTATAAACGAAATGATTTTACAATTAAACGATATTATTTGTCCGTTCGGAATTATAAAAATTTGTTAGAATTTAAATTTTACAATTAGATGAGTTTAACTTTTATATTAAATGACATATTATGATTAGTTAAAAAAGAGAAAGTGAGTAAAAAGGTTCACCCTAAATCCAATAATTGTTCACCAAATAGACTAAATATACATTGCGGTAGATTGCTGCTCCTTGAGAAATAGATCCTTAAGCTAGTTTAGTTTGATAACATTCTTCGTCATAAGATTGATAAGACATTAAAATATCTACATAGAACTAGAAAAATTAATAAAATGTAAAGATAATATTGAAAATCTCATAGAATATTATTTCAAATAAACTTAAATTTATAGATTTATTTCTATTTTTAAGAAGGAAGAAAAAAAAAATGTAAACCAATCAAACTGTATAGTTAACTAAGTAAACCTGACGAAAAAAGGCAAATTTACTTCTTCTCAGTTCTCAATCGAAAAAAGGAAACACCGACACAGGGACTAAATCGTAATTATAAGGTTAGCTAATCCATATTAAGGAAAAGGAAATCAAACAACGTAACGGCTATAATTAGTTACTAATCACAGTAATTAAACTACTAAACTCAAAGAAAAAAGGAAACCCTAACTTTTAATGTAAGCACTTAGCAGATAGCGTAAGTATTATTTAAAGCAATAGAGACTCTCTCATTCTCATTTTCTCTCAGTTTCTCTCTGTCTCTCTGATTTCCTTGTGCCTCACGTTTTTGCTCATTCGGTTCTATCACAAATTCACAATGAATATTATGTATCACGATTACGATCATCTCACGGCTTCAGGGAAGAACCTGTGGTCGAATTTCTTTGTACTGGTTGATGCGGCGGTAATGTTATATGAAGAAGAACAACGCCGTAAGATTGTCTCCGAAGAAGAAGAAGAGACACAGAAGAGAATCTTTTGTCTCTTCCCGAGAAAAACAAGATCGTCTTTGGTGAAGAGACAACAAAAGCTTAATGGGTTTTTAACTTCTACTTCTTCATCGTTTATCGATCTTAACCAGTTCCCTACTGATTCTGAGACAGAACAAAACCATCTTCGGTTGCTATCTTCTTCATGTTTCATCCCCGCTGATTCCGAGACGAAAACCCTACAAAACCCTAGTTCTGAACCTTGTTCTTCACTCGTAGTCTTTGATTACAAGATGGCTGAGTCCGAGGAGAGGGAGACGAAAGACCCAGTAAACCCTAATTTTCAATGTTCTCTGTCTTTGTGCCTAACGGAGAACACAAGCCGCAAGAGACGTGCTGTGGAACAGAGGAAGCGTACTGGTGGAGTCAAGAAAGCAAAGGTTGCTCCTTTTTCACAAACGGCGAGAGAGGCGCCTGAGTGGCTTGTCAAGGTGATGAGAGACATGAAAGAAGCCAAAGACGCTAAACTGATCTTTGAGAAGACTCTGTTCGTGACTGATGTGAACCCAACACAGAACCGTCTCTCAATGCCTTTCAACAACTTAATCCGGAACGATTTCTTGACCTCTGTGGAGTCCAGAATCATAGACAAAGACATCAACAACGATAAGAAGATTGGAGTGGGAGCGATTCTCGTGGATCAACGGTCTGAGAAGTGGGGTGTGATGTTGAAGAGATGGGAGATGAAGAAGGAATCAGGAAAAGGAAGCTGGAATTACAATTTGATTTGTGGGTGGAACGATATCGTTGAGGCTAACGGATTGAAAGACGGCGACAACATTAGTCTTTGGTCGTTCAGGTGCTGTGGAGTCCTCTGCTTTGCCATGGAACAGAGTAGCTCTTCTCTTGCTCTCTGTCTCTGCTAAGTTTTTGTGTCTGTTGAGACTATTACTTGGTTGATCAACACGTATAGCGATCTAATTTCATGCGATTCTGCAGGTTTTTGATTTAGTAACTTCTTGGAAGTTTAATTAACAAAATTAGGGGTTTACTACGGTTTTGATTTTATTAGTAACTTGTTCTTACTATTGTTTCAGATCTTTACTATTGTATGAACTTAGCATTTTGACATGAAACTGGTTTGTTGTGTGGTCTACTTTAGCTACTGCATTAAAGTAGGGTTGTTCCTTCTATAGACTTTGAGATATCTTGTAATATAAAATATCTCAAAATCTAAATTTTTGTGATGAAATTGCTCCAATCGTGCAAGTGTTTTGGTACATTCGTCAAGTGAGAATCTGATTTTTTAAACTCAAATATAAAACAAAGAGCAAAATGATCAAATCAGGAACAAAATTTTTTGCCAAGACAGGTTTTGCTAGCTACCATTGTCGAAGTCAGATGGAAAGTTTATTTCAGACTCTAACTGAGGCTCATGATCCCAACCAACTCTACATCGTTTATAAGCTTTCACGAGAAGAATCCTCTCACCGGGCTTGCGCCAAGACAGGCTTCGTTGACGGCAGGAGATAATCTTGGACCGTTACTTGCGCCTTGTCTGGTGAGTTTGTCGAGGGCGCACGGCATCTCTTTCTTCTGGGTCAAATTCTCTCTTATTGAGATATTATCCAGATTTGGCTCTTCGAATTTTCCACCAACCGGGTCCTTTTTGATGTGTTGTCTCTACTGCTTGATCGGGCGAGGTCTCCGTTACAGCTTTGAAATAGCACCCTTGAATTGGCTTTGCAAATATATACTCCAAATTCTGCGAAGAGCTTCTTTCGATGAGAACCTTGTGTCCCTAACTCTTTGTCTTGTGCCGGTGAGACTCGAGTTTATGGAACCTTCTTCAACGTCCCAATGTCTATTGATAAGGACAATTCACCATGTTCTCGAATTGATCGCGAATGTGTTTTCGACTTCCCTTGGATTCGTTTGTGATTTGGTGCTATATTGCCCACATCTCCGTTTTCTCTTGGATATGTTGTCGAACTATCTACCCTTTATATCGCTTTTTACTTATGATTGTAACCTTCTTGTATCATGCCTTGTGTTGGCTAAAACTCTAAGCTCTGTAAGCTCATATTCCGTTTGAATGAATGAAACAAGGCCTTTGCACAAAAAAAAAAAGACAGGTTTTGCTACAATTGCTTCTTCAGCCACTTTGTTTTGCTACAATTACTTTTCTTGTCTAGGGAGTTTGTGCTACAAGGCTCTTGGATAGGTCCCTGCAGAAAGTTTTGGCATTCTGTGACTTCTTTCTCCGATGTGACATTGAGAAATACTTCAAGATATTCACAGGTTTCTAATCAAATCTCTCTGCTCATATGGCAGAAAAGCAGTTCAACATTACTATTGTTCTTAGAATTCCCAAGGTACCCGGGAATGGAGGTTACAGTAATATAAACAAAAGACATGAAACTTGACAGATATCAAAGTTTAAATGTAATTATAATGTATCTTCTACCATGCCTAAGAGTCATTAAACAATAATCAAATTTAGTTTCAAATCAGCAAAACTTGTTTGTGTTTACTTAACTAAACAGAAACATTAATTGACCAGTCTTGTTCAAAACAATATTTCATGAATAAAACAGGGATGATGCAAGAAACAAACAAGGTACTGTAAGATATTAATAATAATCATTGAAGATGTTGTGTTGACTGAGTTTTATAATCCATCTAAAATGTCATGAGATTGATGAATTGAGGAAGTGACTGTGATTGACACAAACCAGAGAATATATGGTGTTGAATCAAGAAACCAGCAGTCTGATATATCAAAGGATGTATCTGATGTCTGACATAGTTCTTGAACTAGTTCCGACATTAATACAGGAAGCTGAGTTGTGACACTGCTTTGAAGAGTTGGAGTACAGAAGTTTGGGGACGACTTGGACAAGCCAAGAGATGTCTGCTGAGCTGGATAAACATCTTGAATAGTATATTCAAGATGAGAACGTGAAGACAAAGTTTCCTTGTCCATAAAGAAAAAGGAAATTTGTCAATTCCTATTTTGGTGTAGAATAGGAAATTCCTATTAGTGTAGAATAGGAAAATTGTCAACTCTAGGGTTGAGCAATTGTTATAAATACCAAGAGGGCGTTTCATGAAGACTTGCGCGCCTCAGGGTATTCTCGAGAGATGCACACAAGGTGTGTGGCGTCGCCCCACCATATATGATGTAAGATCTATTGGTGGTTTATTCATCTAGAAAAGAATGATAGGCATAGTAGTGCTTGATATCATACGCAATTGTAATTGCAATCTTGTTCTAGTGAATTTGTTCTGGACTAGGTCCCGGGGATGTAGGAAAAACCGAACCCCGTTAACAAACTCTTTGTGTCGTTTACTTTATGCTCACACATACTCGTACTTGAACATATACGTACTCGAACAATTAGACTTAGCCACAAATATGCGTTTACAATTGGTATCAGAGCGGGTGCTCGACAAAAATCTGTTCTTATTTCGGGTATGATCCTGGATTTGTGGCTAACTGTGAACTGGAAGCAGATGAGAAGGAAGTGTAGTCACGAAGATATAGAGAAAAAGATCAAGGGTATATTCGGAGTTGTGTGATTTTGAAGAAACCAAGCGAAAAGGATAGTTACGGTATGATGAATATCTTCGAATTTTGACAGAGGTGGAATATATCTTAAACTCTTAAGAAAGGTTTGTGCTATCCATCGAGTTGTATGAAGGAAGAACACAACTTGTTTCTATTATCGTCGGGAACGGTTGAGAAGAAGACTTTTTCCTAACATGGGCTTGCTTTTGGAACTTTTGGCCCAATAATGATTCTTTTCTAGGCGTCGCGAAGGAAGACGTTTTTTGAAGCAGTGTTCCACGATGGAGAAAAATTGCTAGCAAAGGTTGACTCAGATTAGTTTAATAGAGACACATGTTGGGTTTTGGGTCTATCTTCTGGTGTCCTCTCCAGTGTGAACAAAATCGAAGGGATTTTGTGTGTGATTCTGGAGTGCTCTTGTATTGCTTCTTAGAGGAGTTAACGAGGAACTGTGTTGAATGTGGGTTGTTCACTCAAGGAGCAGTTCGTCTAAACATGTTTTTGTCTTTCTCAGCATTCAGAAGATTGAAAAAGAATTCCAAAATCTGAAAAATCGATGGGCTGAATAGAATCATGAGTTTTGTTTTAAGAAAGAAACTTGGAGAGTTAAAAGAAGATGTTTCTCGATGAAGAAGATATAAGGTGATTTTAGCCGTCCTCAATTCAATGGTTCTGCAAACTTCACGAAGAGAAACAAAATCAAAGGTCATGTGTATCTCGTTCATCTTTGGTTATTTTCGGTTCTTGAAAGAAGATGGGTTAACTTCGGGTTTGATCATACAAATCGAAAAATCGTGTTGGGGGTTTTGAATTGAATTGGTGAAAGGTGGAGTTTAATCTCTCAATCTGGAATCAGCGAGATGAAGATATATGTTCAGTTTTTGGGTTTCATAAATCGGTTAGTTTGCGACTGTTCTTCAATATGATACTTAGATAAAGAGAGTCACAAATTCTGCAGAAGATTAAGAGATTTTTTGAGCTGTTAAAATTAAGGTTCTCAGCTTGATATATTTCTCTTGCTTGGTTTGATGCCATAATTTGAGGATTGATGTCATGTCTGGAGTTATTAGTTGAAGCAAAGAGAGGTCAATTTCGTGAAATTGAGGGCTAAAATAGTCACATGTCTAGAATAAACGTGAAGAGAATTTGTGATGGTGTAGCTTACCCGTGGAAGAGACGTGTGATTCTGAAATCATTTTGAGCCTTAGTGGTATTCTCTGGTTTCAATTTGATACTGAAAAGGAACTACAATGTCAGCATCTATCTCAGATGAAAGAAGTGAATGTGGCTTTGGTGAAAGATTCGCAGTCGTCGAGTTCACAGGTAAAATTTGCAGTCTTAAAGAAATGGCCGTATCGGAGAAAGAAGACAGAAGACACTTGTATGTGTGAGTTTTTCACTGAAGACATTGCTCTTTAAAGCTTTGTCAAAGTAACTGGAGATGGTGAATAAACGAGCTTCGGTTGTCTCGTGTCAAAGCTGTCTCATGGGCTTCCTCTGAGATTTGGTTAGAACCTTGAGATCAGAAGATGAGCTAATTCCCTTTAAGCCAATCTACAGTTTTGGTTCCTCATTTTCAAGGGTTGAAATTTTTGGTAAAGTGTACGGAAGCTTCTATAAGATTCAGAGGGAGAGTTTGAGTATCTTCTTCTCCGTTGAGATTGAGATTCACTGAAGGGAAAAAATTTGGGTTTTCAAAAGTGGAAATCTTGTCAACTGATTGAGAAAATCAGAGAAAGAATTTGAGAGTCGTCTCCACCGAGAGAAAGTGCGAGAGGTTCCGGATAGAGGAGAGAATTGAAAAGGTCATAAGTTTCTAGTGTAAAGAATTGGAAATTTAGAATTTACAGTTTCCTCAACGGGAAGAATGGTTGCGTTTTGTTGACAACTCTTGAAGCTTGTTTTTGATTTGGCGATTTGAGGAAAGATCAAAAGTAATTCATATGGAAGGCTTAGAGTATGATACGTGAACCAGTTTTCTTAAGTTCTTGTTTGGTTGAAGAGGAAGACCATTTCACCAAGATTATGGTAGCATACGTTTAAGCACATATCAGTAGATGAGTTCTTCACTAAGTTTTATAAATAAAAGGAGGGAGAGAATTTGAAGAGTCTAAGAAAGCTCATGAATTGATTGGGTAGAATTTAAATCTTGGTTGAGCTTTTGCTTATGATACTTAGTGAAAAAGGATGAGACACAAAACTGATCATGTCAGTGCTTAAACGAGAAGGCGTCTGAACATTGATAGAAGAAAGGAGAAGAAGGCTGGAACTGAATTAGTGTGCTTTATTCAAGTTTTATTCAAGTGTGCACTAAGTCAGCACAAGTCAGAGGGA